AGTAGACTTCCATGTCTACTCGTCATCGGACCTTGGAAGGTTATTTTTTAAAAAAGTAATTAATTCCCCAGGTAGACAATTGGTGCCATAGTTACAGGATTTAACAGATTGTTCTTCACTAATTTCCACAAAGTACTTAAAATAGTTACTTGTGGTCAATTTTTTTTAAAAAAGGAAAGAAACATCTGAACATTACAAGTTACTGACCTGTAGTACAAACTGCAACCACCTCATTGTTGCCTCAGCACTTACAACAGAGCACACGGCAAGGGCACTACCCAGTACGTGAACCATGTGATGATTCTCTTCTACCTCCACGAGACACAGAACTATGGAAGTAATTTAGAAGTTGGTTACACTGCAAAAGGAGTAGTTATATTACATTGTTACAAATGTAATGCAGTGTTACATGATTGTTACACAAAAGAACTTGTTATTTATAGCTGCTTACAAGTTCTGTTCATTATTTCAGCTTGCATTTTTTACACTTGGAATATAATTCTTCTGGCTGTACTAAAAGGGATCTCACAGCACAATCCTCTACATGTTTACTGAGAAGTGTTCTGTGGTGTTCAGTTGGTGTTACCTAATGGACTTGGAATTTTGGTTTTTCAGACCAAGCGGCTTCACTTTATACTGCATACCACGAATTTACTAAGGACATAACACTGAAGTTGCACATTTATGAAGGGTTACCCTAGATATGAACTGCATTGGACACAATCGGGCTGATTTCTGAGCAAATGCAGGATTCCATAATGTCCTTATCTTCTGTCTTTCACAAGTTTAATAATGTATTCATGAGCGTACAGGGTCTCTCATGTCAGGGTATAGAATTTTATAGGCCTGAACCCAATTATGTTTCATTAACGAGCTGCCATTATGTGCAAATGAGAGAAAAGCTGAATCATCGTAAGCTGATGCAATGAGGTGAAACCAGAAAGAGCCCAGGTGCAGAGATGAGGTCTCCTGGAACCCGATTGGACTGGACAGAGACAAGATTATGTATAAATATGGACTGTGTCTGTGATATTTTCTCTTCTTCTGATGTGATTTTCTGCCACGCATGCTGTCGGACTGTATGAAGACTTCTAGATGCGCTGTAGAGACCTGCCTGTATATAAGTGTACATATATGTAAATATAACCGTCAAAGAAGAGCTGGTAAAGTGTCTTCATTTACTCTGCGCCAGAAACGTAACATCTCACATAGGGAATAGTTGCTTCCATTAGCAACTTGGCTTCTCAGTAAAAGCTGTGTGTGGTTACATGAAAACTGCTCTTAACTTCTGGATATGTTTTGTGGATGGATAATGGTACTGTCTTGGCTTTATCTAAGGTGATTGCATTTCTTCAACAGTTTCAAAGCAGCAGGTAAAGTTATGCCTGTAGAACATGTCTTCAGAATTCTAGAAGGAATGCCCTAATGCAAGTTTGAATGCAATTTCCTATCTGTCTGGGATGAAAGGGAGCTTCCAACACAATCCTCTACATCTACTGGGAAGTAAATTGACTGGCCGACTCCCACTTTAAAAAAATCTTTCCAGTGAAAAGTTGAAAATGGAAATACTCAAAAATTATTCTTCTTTATGTACCTGTGTGAAGGGCTAGGTTGCTTCTGAGGGGATGGGAATGACAAATGATATCCCTGTGGTGTCCATCAGGTTGAAGAAGACTCGGAGCCAAAAGTCAAGCAGCAAACACACATTTATTACAAACTATGTACACTCTGTCTCCACCATTCAGTTGTCTTCACTGATTCATTGTGTGTGTGTGTGTGAATATTGGTCCATAGAGTCTCTTTGCAGGCTTAGAGGTGAGTTGAGTTCACTGCACCTCATCTGCCCAATCCAAACTATAGTCAAGCTTCTGCCTTTCCTTCCTGCCTGCCTGCCCTCCTTTTCCCCACCAACAGCCCTCAAATTTTCATCCTCTTTGTGGGAGATTCCCTTGTCTGACTTTTCCTGACCTTTCTTGATTTCCTGCCCTTCTGGGTCTGTTGGCTGTAAATTAATTTCAGTGGGAGCTCCATGAAGAAATGATTAAGGAATGCAACTAAAGCTGAATCATTAAATAGTTTTAAAAATAAGGCAAGCAATATATCTAAAAATAATTAGGAAGCAGGTCTGAGAGAAGACATAATGGTATATTTTTCTCCCTTCGACCACAACTGGGACATGATGGGGACATAAAGACCAAGATATAGTCTGGTTTTGCTTTTTGCCTTTTTGTCTTCCCACCTGCCACTCCCCGGCCTATCTCTTGTAACACTGTAACTGATGAAGCCACGCAACCCTGGAAGAGTGTACACAATTTTGTGCAAGTTTTTTGTTTCATTTTACTTCTTAGTGGTATCATCTTAAAATACATTTTGGACTTTATTGGTCAACACAGTTGCTTTTGCTTAACATAATGCCACTGGTCAGTATCTTGTTCAAAGTGTGTGTGTCTGACTAACTCCAACTCCTGAAAGGGCTACAGTGATCTGCTGAGATGACAGCTGTGTCCCTCATTGTCCACAAGCAGCATCTCATCTGATCAGTACAACATCTGCATTTTGAACAGGTTACTGGTCACTATTTCTGCATGTGCTTGTTAGAGCTCAGTGTTATGTATAGGGCTTTCCCCTCACCGGCTTTTTGGGGAAAATCAGTGCATTTCATATGATAAGAAAGACCCTCTAAGGTGGCTGCCATACCATTTTAGTAGCCTGACCATCTGCATGTGTACAGTATTTCGGAAGAAAACATTCTACTGTATTCAATAGGGCTTACTCACAATCTTTACTGTCTGTTTGCTTATGTGCTCCAGCAAGACTTGGGTTTGTAATAGCAGATGGGATCCATGCCAAAGTTTGCTGTGGATCTTCCCACTGGCTACTGCCTGGGCACCTTCATCTTGATCACAAGCTGTAAAATCTAACACAGGGCCTGTATCATATCCTACTGCTCAACAGGCTTTAATGCCTATATACTGTACTCTTGCAAGAGAAGACAGGCGTATCCTCAATATCTTTTAGTTTAAAAGGAGTTTTGCAAGATTTAGAAGGTGTAATTGCAGAAATTCTCTTGTTTAGACAGCTAATAAATGTGTGGGAGCCTTGCTCTGTGTTGCACTTAGTCATCCTGATGGAGCACACCCAGTTGTTTTATGCACACTGAGTTGGATCCAGACATGATATACAAGGAGTAGAACCAGGATTTTACTGTGTCTACTCTGAGGGTACCCAGTGTGGTGTAGTGGACAGAGTGATGTTCTAGGACTAAGGCCTGGATCTGAATCCCTGTTCACCTATGGAAACTCACTGGTGGTGCAGAAATGGTAAAATAACCTCTTAAATATCTCATTTACCTGGAAAGCTGTTAGGGTTGCTTTAAGTCAGTTCTGATTTGATGGTACAGAATAACCCTGAGTGACTAAACCTGGATCCAAAACCATCACCACTATCCTCTCATAGGTAACTTCATTGAGTTAACTTAATTTTTGGTCTTCTTTTCCTCCTGCCTTCCCCTTTCTCTAGTATTATTGCCTTCTCCAGCAAGTCTTGTCTTCTCACAATGTGCCCAAAGTATAACAGCCTCAGTTTTGTCATTTTTGCTGAGAGTGAGTGAGTGAATGAGTGAGAATTCACACTTCATTTCCTATAGGACCCACTAGTTTCTCTCTCTGGTAGTCCATGGTCTCCGCAAAGTTCTTCTCCAGCACCATACAGTATTTCAAAGAAATTGATTTTCCCCTTCCCTGTTGGTTTTCTTCACTAACCATCTTTAACATCTGTACACACTAATTGGGATCACAATAGTGTGGATGATCTTGGTCTCCAGTGACACATCCTTTCACTTGATGATTTTTTTCTAGTTCCTTCCTCTTTCCAGGTTGCGGCCCCCTTCCGATTTCTTGACTGCAGTTTCCATTTAAAATGATGATTGAACCAAACGTTACACAATCTTCTTCATTTTCAGATTCAAACTTACACAGTTCTTCTATAGCTGTGATTTTTCTCTTTGTGGTCAAACTACAGTCCTACCTTTGCATGTTCTTCTCTCACCTGCACCAGGACTTGTTTCAAATCGCTGTGGCTTTCTACCAGTTGCATCTTAGAATGATTGGTGTTCCTTCCACCAGTCTTTATTCCTCCATCCTGCACTGTCTAGTGCTGTCCTCTAAAAATGTTGGTGCCAAAGCCCCGGTGGCTCCACCCTAATTAAAAGTCCTTTTTTTTTACAAGTTCTGTCCTGAAGGGAACGGGAGTGGAGGTCGACCAGTAGGACAAGTGCAGGCAGTAAATCTAGGAACATGGGGGGCAGAAAGCAGTGGCTTTGAGGGTTTCTGGCTCTCAGGTATTTGGAGGGGTGGGTGGGGAGGGGNCAGGTTATCATGCATAACGGAGCTTTGCACACTCAAGCGACTGCGAGACAAGCACCGGCCTGTGTTGCTGGAAAAGTGGGGGCCCCTGAACAAGCATTCCCCGCCCACAGCCGAGCAGCGCCGCTTATCTAGGCGGCATTGCACGGGTCCTTTTGAGTAACGCGTTTTTCTTTAAGAAGCTAGAGTCAAAATCTTGTCCATCATAGGATATTGTTCTTCCTCATTGGACCTCATGCCCAGTCCTGCGGTAGAGGCACGCCCCTGTGTACACGGGGTCTCCCGCCCGTGACTGCTAGGGTTCCCACTGTGCAGCGCACCTATCCTTGGCGGGTAACATGGCCCCTCCTCCGCGGAGTTTATAGTCTAACAACGAAGGGAGCGTCGTCTCCATTGGTCTTTGCTCGGGGTGACGACAACTGACCCTGCCTTAAGAAGCTTTTTCTCAACATCTACTGGCTTGTGCGAACGTCAGTCCTCCTAACCGGCTTTCCGTTCGCCATAGCAAGAGTGGCTGATCTCCTTGTCTTTCCGATATCGTCCTACCTCTTCTTTCTTTTGGCCTATCGGCCTCCGAGATGCGGATTGAGCTCAGGCCTGATTGGCTCTGGGGATGCAATGGGGGTAGGCTGCGCGCCTGGTATATTTAGCCGGCGCTAGAGCACGCTGTTGCGTGAGGTGCTTCCCGTTTCTTTCGCCTTTACTGCTAGCCATCGTCGTGCGGGGTGAAACCTCCTCCTCCTCCTCTCGTCCAACTCCGCCTCGCTCGCAGGTTGGTGGAGGGGAGCCGGGTCTCGTGTCCCGTCCTTCACGGGCCTGTTAACGCCTGTGGCGTCTCCGTCGCCCCCGTCGCCATAGACACGCGGGGTCGTGGCCGTAGCCGCGGCGCTTCCCCCCCTTCCCCCCCCTCTCAACTGTCTTGGCTCCACGGTGCTCTTGTATTGCAGCCTGAGGAGGCGGCGGCGAGGTGGACCCTATGGGCTGGGATGGGGGAGAAGAGTAGGATAGGCACGGCCGGCATTGTGGGCTGCCTCATGCCGGTGGCTCCATTGGGCGGGAGGGTGTGATGCGGGGCACTGGCGGGTCAATGACATCTACAGCCCGGGGTGACAAGGGAAAGGTAGCCCAAACCAAGCGGTTTTTTTGGGGGGGAGGGGAGGCATGACGGGCAGCGGGGCGAGGGGCTTTTTTTGGGGTCCCTGGACCTAAGATCTAAAGTGGCCCTAGGTCGGAAGAGGAGGACGTACAGTAGGAACTGCCCGGAGGTTAAGGGTACGTGACCCAGGATGGACGGAGGGACAGCGGGGGAGTGTTGGCCGGGTGTGCAAGCGAGGCTGTGGTGGATGATGGGCCTGCTGTGGCGAGCCCGGGAATGGGTCGCGGTGCCCCTTTGCGCAGGGCCTGGGTGTTGGCCTAACGCATGCCCGCCGGTGATGACGAGAATTTCCCTGCTGCGATTCGGCGATGGCTCCAGGTCTGTTCCAAGAGAGACACACAGGTCTCAGGAGCGCCAAATCGCGCGCTGCTGGTGGTGCTTCCTCCTCCTCCTCCTCCTCTTCCTTATTACGGCGCCGTGAGAAAGGGACTTCGCCTCCCGCTCTGAAGGGCCGACTGGCTCCTAATGTTCCCGATCTCGCCTCTGAAAACGGCGCGGGCCTGTGGCGGCGGGGTTGGGGGACATGGGGAGGGGAGCACACATACCGGGGTGGTGGGGGAACGGGGCATTTTTGAAGTCGCCGTCGAGCCACCCGGCGAAGCTTCGCAGAACGGAGATTGGTGGCGATGGTGCTCGCTCGATCGCGAGGGGAGGCAGGGGAGTGGTAGTGCTGAAGGGAAGGTGGTGTGAGACGCCACGCCATTATCCGTAACCGAAATAGCTGCCTGTAGAGGACAATAGTGTCCTTCAGCTCGGGAGGGGGGGGGGAGAGAAAAGGAAACGGACTAAGCTGGGCTTGCGGCTTCATTGTGCCAGCCTAGAGACATAGAGCTGCAAGATGTGTGTGTCCCATTGCCTTAGGCTGCCGGATTTGGTTTTTAGCGCATTGTAAATCACTCAAGACTATAATAGGAGGCCCTTCCCTTTGTTCAAGTGAGGTTATCCGGCCCAAAAGGCTTTCACCTTGGAGGTGATCATTGGCCATTTTAAACAGCCCTTGATGATTCTTGCAAAAGAAAGCTGAAATGTTTTATGGAAGTGTGTTTCATAAAATGCAAGGGAGGACACTTGTCAAGGTCAGTTTTAACTTTGATATGAATTAAGTAAAGCTGAAGATTCTAGTAATTTTCACCCCATTATCTTTTTATTATTTTGTTTCTAGTTTAGCTCTTGGAGGGGTCTTGGTGGCAAATGTTAATGTGCTTGTTTTCTGTTAAGGGAAATCTGGGGTGAAGATTGTGTCCAGCATGCATACCCTATCAGGTGGCAGCATTATAATCTACTGCAGAGTATCTGTAGCAAGCGGCAGTGATTCCAAACCTTGCTATTTTTGTCTTCTTACAGACACAGTGCTAGGTTAAGGAAGTGCAGGCCAACTTGTTATGCTTTATTAGATACATGTTTGTTTGCCAAAGGAAAAGCTGTGATAAGTCACTAAGTAAATTGTAGTTTTATTGTTTTTGTGTTTTTTAGGGGAGGGACTGGTTTGTGTGTTACTTAAAATAACATATTACACTAAATTTTCCAGGAAACTTGTGTATTAGCAATACAACATTAGTCTTAAAGGTTAGGTGACATTTCATTGTCTAGTCAGGTTCTTCTGTGATCTGATGACATCCTTGATTGAAAACAGTTAATTGGGAAAACTGTGATAGAATTCTGCTTTGATTGTGTATGAAATGGAAAATGGTTGATTGAATAATTGATTGTTTTGTAAGGAAAATGCAATTAAACATATTACCTATTTTCTGCTGGCCTGTGGTTCTTTTTCCCCCAATTTATTTTTTGTTCCTGTCAAAAGGAATGCCTGTGTTATAACTGCTTATCTAGATAACTCAATGGTTTAGGTATCTGTCTGTGAAGATGGAGGTTGAAAATCCGATTCCCCACTGTGCCTCCTGCAATTAGAGCCAGCCTGTGTGGCCTTGGGCAAGCTGCAAAAAGGGACTGGTGAGCCACTTCTGAGTGCTCTCTATTTGGAAAATCCTGTAAAGTGTTGCCGTAAATCAGAATTGACTTGACAGCACATTATTATTGTAAAATTGTCCTTTGCATATGAAAATGAATGATTGAATAATTGATTGTTTTAGAAGGAGCATGAAACATTGATTTTATGCTGTCCTGTGTTTTTTGGATTCCTATCACAAGGAATGCTTGTACTGTATTATAATTGCTCTGTGCATCAGTTAATGGCACACACATAATGTTAATTTTTTAAAATAAAAGGTGAAGCCAGGCTTTTTCTAAGGGCAAGAGTAAAATATTTTATATTTTCTGGTTCTGGTAATGGTATCCTAAAACAAGCAAAAAAAAGTGTGTCAGATAGCTTGTGCTTTGCTTTGATAAAATGAATTTTTGTATTGTATAATGGTTTCTAGAGCAGACAGCTCTCCTTTTTTCATCTCTTTCCTAATATTATTAAAAAGAGATGTATGAGACATATATAGTAGCTGGACGGATATCCCAGTGGGTTTGATTCCCAGACTACAAGGTCAGTGGCTGGAAGTACAATTCCCTACTGTAGCTCCTGGAAGAATGGCTAGACTGTGCAGCCTTGTACCCAGAGCAGCACCAGAAGTAAACTACTTCTGAGCCCGATATATCTAGAAAACTCTGGGAAGGGTTGTCATAAGTAGGAATAACCCTTGGTTCATAATAATGATAAACATACCTTAAGAGAACAATAAAACGTTTTCGTTGTGCTAAAGTTGTCTCTTGTAATTGCATACTTGGGTTGCTGTTTGGACAAAATCGTCCTGCATAAAAGTTCATCCATTATTTATGGATAATTAAGGGATGTTGACCTCATTTTACTAGATAGTTTTAGTCTATATCCTTGTGCATGCTGAAAGAGAGGATACATTTCTAGACAGGATGGATTTGATTTAAATCAAATTGATTTTTTAAAAATATTGGATATTTTAAAATCCACTTAGCTTCTAGGTACTGGGTGCAGAAATGTTGTCTAGCAGTAACTTTCATTGTCTATTAGGTGCAGTTTCTTGTCCTTAAGCATTGCATATATAAATGTGTATGTGTGTGTGTAGGGTTTCTCTCTCTCCCCATTGGGGATGGGGTAGGAATGGTAAACTATAGTCTTTGAATTTCTCACATACCTTGAAAGCTTGATTAGAATGTCCATAAGTTAGTAGAAGAGGATGTACATACTGGAGTTCTTCTCCATGGAGGTCTGTTGTATCCAATGTTCCTTGAAATATCTTGACAAGGATAATAGCTCTGCAGAGTAAGAAATTAATTTGCAGTGGGGAAGTGGTTTTCCATATTAGTTCTTTAGTTTCTGAACATACATATATGTGTTTGTGAAATATGTATTCAAGTTATTTAATGTACTTTCAAGCTATTTAGCTGATAAAACTGATGCTGAAGTCATATCCCATGAATAGCATTTGATGGAATAGGCTATGTCTGGTGCAGAAATGAGAAGCTAGAAAAGAACATGATAGACATCTTCATGTATTCTAAAGCTTCTCATGTAGAATAAGGAACAATTATTTTTTTTGGCTACTCCAGAGAGTAAGTCCAGAACTAATGGATACAAATGTCAAAAAGGAGGTTCTTTAGGAAGAACATGCAGAAAAAGTTGTTTGACAGTGGTGTGATTTGAACAATGGTTCCCAATTTTGAATTGGACTGTAATTCCCAAAAGTCTTCACCACTAGCTGTGCTGTCTGGGTTTCCTGGTCTTGCAGTCCAGGAACACCTGGGTTACCCAAGGCTGGGAACCACTGCCTTAGAAAATAGTGAACCTTCCTTCATTGGAGGTTCCCCTGTAAGAGGTTGCTACAAATGTCTAGAATTATAATTAAACAGTGACTGGACAACTTAGGGGCTAGATGCTCAATGTACTAAAGCTTGGATGACATCTAGAATGTATTTGGGTCATAATTGGAATGTGAGTGTTGGCCGCTTAAAACTACAGTAATAGATTTTATTGTTAGTTTGTATAAGATAATTTTGAAAATAAGTGTTTTAAATACAGTATCTTTATATCAAGTGTCAATGAATATGTGTATAATAATTAAAATTAATGTGAACTGATCCAGCTGCTTCACATAAAGTATTTCAGTAATCCTTATAGGTCCAACAGAAAGTGTAGATTCTCTCCCCCCCCCCCCCCA